GAGGAGTGGAAAAGGGCATGCAGTGGTTTGCTAGAGGGCTTTCACTGTGTGGAGTTCTCAGCATTTCCATGAGCTGCTTGCTAGGGGGACAGTCTAAAGTTGTCAGGAGGCTGTGTGTGATGTGCCTTGGTGAGGAGGAAGGAAGATGCTGAGCATGTGGTGCCAGGGCAGCCCCAGGCAGAGCAGCCAGCTGCCTGGGCACTGCTGGGAGTCACGAGTTCCAACACAAACAGTGTGAGGGAGGCTTGAGGCTGACATTACACCAGAGTGCGAGGTGGGATTGTTCCATGGATGGAAGTTCAAAGAGTACAGTCATTCAGGAAAACTGTTGGGGGCTATTAACTGTAAGGATTGCCTTGCACTCAGGAAATGCTGTGGTTCCAGCAGCTGGGGGCAAAAGTAGCACATGGAGAATGCGTCCATGGGCTGCTCTGCTTTTACAGCCTTCCTTCACCAGCTGCTTTCAAAAAGTGAGGCCCAGGACTATGACATCTGTTTTGGTACACCTGTGTACAGGCATTCTCTTAGTTGCTGGAGAGATATAGAAAGGAGGGGTACAATGATGCTTCCCCTGGTAGCTGGAAATGCAAGACTGCTGGGACAAACTCTGCTCTCAATTCTGTCAGCCAAGGGCTCAGAAACAAAATGAACTTTCCTGTCTAAAGCACTTCCTGCCTAGCATCACACTGTGGTGCTGCTTGGGATGTTCCAGGTGGTCCTGTTGCATAGGGAAGTGAGATAGGAGCTGCTGGAGCCATCTGCCAGTATGTCAGTGTCTGTGCTTGAATGCTGAGGCATGTCCCTGAGTGCAGGGAAAGCAGGCTGGGCTGCAGTTCCACCCTGTCGGTGCTTTGGTACCTGTTGGTGCCTTCAGGCTCCTGGTCACATGGGTACCTCCTACTCCATCATCTCAGGGTGCTGTAGGGTGAGCTGGATCCGTGCTGATGAGATCTGGAGGGTGAAGATGCTGGTGGTTGGAGGGGTGGTTGGAGGGGAGCAAAGCACCATGAAGATGTGGTGTGACATCAGGCCCAAGAAGCAAGAAGGCCTCCAGAAGGGCTGTCTGAAGTCTTGCAGGGTGAGGGCAGGATGTTCCTCTGCAGCTGACTGCTGGTGGTTCCCTGTGACACAGACCTGCTGATCTGGCACTGCCGCAGGGCCTCGGTCACTCACATCCTCTTCCTGCTGAGATTTGCCTGCCCTGTGTGTTTGTTCCTCACTTGTCCCCGACCTCTGATAAGACCTCATAGTTTAATTTAAGCTTGAAGGGCTGAGCAAACACCAAGACATAATGGGCTTGTAGGGAGAAGGGGAAAGGTGGGCATGGGCTGGACCACACGGCAATAACTCTTTTGGTGCTTTTCTGTCCTAGATATTGCTGTGGAGTTGCTGCAGAAAGTGGCTCCCAGTCCTATCCGCAGACTCCAGAAGAAATATGTGTCTCACGTATCTCGGTAAGAAGCAAAACCTGTCCCTTTATGTCCTGTGTCAGAACTTGGAGCTCTGGTCTTACCTGTGACTCACTTTGTCTCCTGGGCCGGCCACTGGCTTTCTGCCTAGGCCTGATTAGTGTCAAAGAGAAGCTGGAGTCACGGACAGCAGGCACAGTGACTTCCTGATGCAGCTGGCTTCGAGTTTATCCTGCTCTCTGGGGTGCATATGTGCTCTTGTTACTGGGAATCTGTACTGGCTGCATCTGCAGCTCCCTGGGTAACCAGATTTGAACCTGGAGTCTCCACTTGGCAGCTGAGCCCTCACAGCATGTCATGCTGTAGGCAGGGCTGCTCAGTTTGGAGCTGACTATGCCTGGGAACAGAAACCAGGGCTTTCTGCTCCCCACCCTGCATCCCTGGCACTTTCTGTTGCTGCAGCTCAGGACAACTGGCACAGAGCTGGCAAGGCTGTGATCTGTCTAGCAATTTGCTAAATCTTCCTACTGTCTGCATGGGGAGGGAGCAGCCAAGTTGTGTCCTGGTGCCTGGGATGTTTGTAGCATTGGCTCTTGTCCTGTCCTACAGGGAAGCTTGCATCTCGCCCTGCTCCATGATGTTGGCCCTGGTTTACATTGAGAGACTCCGGCACCGGAACCCTGAATACCTCCAGCAGATCTCCTCTTCAGACCTCTTCCTGATCTCCATGGTGAGCAGTGGGCAGGGGGGTAACTGGGCTGGATGGCGGGAAGTGAGCGCACTGGAGGCTGAGATGCTGTCCTTTATGCTGCTTTCAGATGGTTGCAAGCAAGTATCTCTATGATGAGGGTGAGGAAGAGGAGGTGTTCAACGATGAGTGGGGAGCAGCAGGGAAGGTGGACGTCCAGACCATGAACACACTGGAGATGAACTTCCTGAGCGCCATTGTAAGTGAAACTGTAACTGCTGCCAACTGTTTCACAGAGCACAGAGCAGGGGAAAAGAGACATCGAGGGGAGTCTGGATTTCTGTTTTTCTCCCACATGCTCCCATGAAGGGATAGAGAAAGATGTGTCTGGGTGCTGGGTGACCTGCTCTGACAGCACTGACCTTTAACTGCTGTCCCGGCAGGACTGGAGTCTCTACACAGATCCTCGGGAGCTGTTTGAAGTGCTGAGCTGGCTGGAGGGACGGTAGGTGTCTAGGGTGGGGGGGAGCCCTTTATCTGTGTTGCAGCCTGGCTCTGCCCCTGCTTGGAGATGGCCCTGCTGCAGTGCAATAAGAGGCTGGGCCACCTTTGAGCCTTAGCTAGGCTCTGCAGCTCCTTTCTACAGAGCTTAAGCAGGGTCTTCTCCAAACCTGCCTGGGCTGAAAATGCTTTTATGGGGAAGGTCCATATCGTGTCCATCATTCCTTTTTGTTTGTTTTTTTTCTTTCTTGCAGTGTGGCTGAAAAACAGGGCATGTGGCGTGGCTGGTTCACCTACACAGATCTGTGTGTCCTCATGGAGCAGTCCATGTGGCAGCATGTGCTGGGCCAGTTCTACCAGCAAGTGGTGAAGGTAAGGGCATAGGAGAGCAGCTAATTGCAAGAAGATGGGACTCAGCCGGCTGTGGATTTGGAGCAGAACCCTCTTTTCCACTCTTTTCCAAGAGAACAGCATCTTGGTTTATTCTCTGTTGAAAAGGGAAGCTCTCAGGAGATGCTGATTTGTAGCTGCACTGCCTGAGGCACTGCAGCCTGGTGCTGGGTAGTGTGCCCTGTGCTAGACCACAGCCCCATAAGTCGTAGTGCAAGGACATGATGGTGGCATGGAGGCAGCTGGGTACCAGCTAGGGCTTTGAACAGGAGCTGCTGGCTTTTAGCTGGGGCATTTTGGTTTGTGATATTTAGGCCCAGCTTTGGGCAGGCTGTGTGCTGCCCACTGTTAGCAGTGGCTGCCTGCTCTCGGCATACAGCCCTGGAGCTGGTGATGCTTTTTCCTATCACGCTGCTGGGTTGATCGTGGCCATGCTGCATCATGGCTGGCGGGGGGTGTCTGGGCTAACATTTGGCTTCTTTCTCCCTAGCTGGCCTGCCTCCTGGGTGTGGTGTACCTGACGGGCTTCGCAGCCATCTTCGCCTCCATCGCCGTGGTGCACCGGTCTGTGTGCCTAAGGAGTGTCAGCACTGCAGCCCCCCGGCCTGTGCTGTTCCCCGAGGAGGGGAGGTGCCAGCTGGATGCCCAGCCAGCACCAGCCCCTGACCAACCCCAGCCCGAGCTGCCCAATGTCTCCTCAGCCAGCTGCACCCGTTGCCTGGGGGAGAACGAGACAACCAAGGAGCCGCATCGTGGAGGTGTTACAGCGACTGCACTCTACCTGTGGAGCAGCGTGATGACGGCCCTGTCCTACCCAAAGGCACCTGATCTGGCCCAACACAGGCACCTCCCACACGGTCCTTTCCGGAAAGTGCCCACTGCCTGTGAGAGATCCAACCGTACTACCCCCCGTGCAGCCCCCAGCCAGCCTGGCCCTCTTGGACTCGCCGTGTTCCCGGCCCCCCCGGTGCTGCACTGCCATGCTTGCTCAGCCACTGCGGGCCCCACATGGGATGCAGCCCCCAACCGTGAGGACTGGCTGGACCCCCTGGGGCTGAAGCAGTGCTTCTTGCATACTGCAATGGATCTCAGTAGAATCAAGAGCTTCATTTTTCCCAGCTAGGAATATAGGACAGCAGCCCCTTTTCCTTTCCCTTCTAGTGTGGCACAACTCACTTCCTTGCACTTCTGGGACCCCTGATCCCTGGAACTGCATGGGGCTGAAGGGCCCTGCATTACTTTCAAACCAGCACTTGTGTCCCCCCACCTAGGGCAGGGATGTTCTTCACTTGGGGCTGCTGGGACAGGTTGGCATAGAGCTGGCTTGCTGGGGTGGGAACTTAATAGCTGGAGGGTAAATACGGGTTGCCTTTGGGCTGGGGTGCTTGTGCAAAGGGATTATTGTACCTCTTCCTGTAGTGAGTGGTGTTGGACAGAGGTGGCATATGGGATGTTGGAGGCTGGGACTGTGTGTGCAGGGTGGAGGGGCTAAGGCAGTGACCCCAGTGAGAAGGTGGGGTGCCTGGGGTACGGGAGAGGAGGTTGAAGGAGGTGGGAGTGAGCAGTTTTTACACTGGGGGGCTGTTAGGCCACTTCTTGGAACTTGCAAGAGTGACACCAAGCAGGTACATTGATGTAGCTGTGCCCCACTGGGCTTGGTGGGGATGAGGTGGGGTTAGTGCTGAACTTCCTTATCCTGCTTGTGTTGGGTGTTTTGAATCTGGGGTGCTCTGTGACCCAATCCCAAACCCCAGCTGTCTGTGTCTGAGAGAAAACAGTGCCTGACTGCTCCTCAGAGTGGGAAGAAGGCACCTTGTCTTGCTGACCAGGCCAGCTCATCATGGCCCTTCTTTTTACTGTGGATTTTACACCTGTTTTTCACTCTTTTGTAGATGCAAATCTCTTCCAATAAAAGTAGTTCTTGCTGTGTGCCTGTCTCGTCCTGCTGAGCTGCTCTATATAGCTGTTCTATATGCCTGCCCCAGAGCAGAGCCATGTTCATGCAGCTGTGCCTGCTCCTGCAGCTGCTGTGCAAGACAGTGTGCAAACCCTAGGTGCTGCCAGTGAGCCCAGGAGACCTGCAAGGCCTGTCCTGCAGTCTATCTCCTGACAGGAGGGATATCAGGTCTGGTGCAGGCAGGGACAACAGGAGAGAGGAAGATCCCCACCCTTGGGAATGCAGGGAATGCCTGTTCTCTTCATTGCTCTTTGCTCTCCAAAGCTTTACCTGTTAATGAGTGAGCCTTGAGCAGCACGGGCTTGACCAGGTCACTGACACAGCCACCTCTGCCCCGTGACAAAAACACGAGCATCCCTTTCCAGCCAAGCAGGCAGCTCCTGTCCCTGGCATCCTTGTCCAGTGGCAGGATTCAGTACTCTCCTAGGAGAATAGGGGATATAACAGACACCCACTAGAGACCAGGCTGCACCAGGAGGGCAGCAGATGCCCCTGCAGATGCTGGGGTGCAACAAGCATGAGCAGGGCATACTGAAGATGGAGGATACTGCTGGTGGGAGTAGTCTAAGCACATGGAGGAAGAGGTGTCAAGGCTGTGGCCTACCCAGTGCTTGCCCACAGAGGCAGTGATGGGACCCAGGCTGTGGGTAGCTGGCATTGTAATAGTGTCTGATGGCCTGGTTGTGGCTGCCTGTCACCTGGCCCTCATGGTGACAAACCAAGGTGACACTTACATTCCTGGCCACAAAGGCAGATAACTAACCAACTCAAGTTAATGGCTCACCCTGGGGCAGCTCCTGCAGAAGGTGGAAGTTCAGCCATGTGAGGATTTGGGAGGAGCTCTTGGGGGTGGGAGCCTGCCCAACCTCTGCAGCGAAAACTGGGAGCAGTGTGGGGAAGGCAGCAGCATGAATGGGGGCCGTGGCAGAGCACCTGGAGCTGGGAGCCCCATGCTCACATCCTGCTCCTCCCAGAAGATGTGCTCCTGGATGATGAGCTGCTGCTTAGCCCTTCAGGTAAGGGGGGACCACAGTGAGCAGCCAGAGAGATGGGATGATGAGGAGAGGGCTGGGATCTTCTCAGATTGCAGGGCAGGGCTGCATCCTGCCAGGAAAAGGGTGTGTAGGGCTCTGGTCAGTGTGGCTGGGAGAGGGGTGGGCAGTAGTGAGTGCTACCCAGGTGGTGTCAGTGGGCATCCACCCTCTCAGGGGGCCTGGGCATGGGGAGCTGCAGCTCTGGATGTTGCAAGGAGTTGTGACTGCTCCATCTCTTCCTTGCACAGCACCTGGCTGTGCAGACCTCCTTGCTCTGCATCTTCCACCTCCTCCTGCTGCCCACCCTGCCCCAGGAGCCACCTCATGCCCACACCACCAGCAAGCTGCTGGCACGAAGCCTCTTTGCCTGCGGCATCTCCACAGTGCTGCAGACCACCCTGGGGAGCCGGTGAGCAAGGGAAGTGGGAAGGGGCACAAGGGAAACCTCTTTGTGCTGCATCTCTGCACAGTTGTCACAGATGTCCCCTCCTTCTCACACACACCTCTAGAAAAACTTTCCCTCCAGCTCCTCACTGCCTTGCTCCAACATCATACACAGCTCCTTCACACCATCTGATGCCTGTACTGCCCACACAGGCTGGGTATGGGATTCAGCAAAGCCTCTGATATCTGCATTCACTCCATGTGCTGTCACTTGGGTTGTACTAGGGCACATGTAGAATATGGGGTAACCTCCTGCCACTTTGGGGTTCTTATCTGCTTCCCTTCCTGCCCCTGTTCCTCTGGCAGCCTGGGTTTTTGGAGCAGCCCTGTTCCCTTCCCTGTCCTTCCTCCCTAATGTGCCGTTGTTGTCCCCTTCCTCAGGTTGCCGCTGGTTCAAATTCCATCCTTTGAGTACCTGGTCCCTGCCATGGTGCTGAGCTCCCACCTGTCCCCTGGTGCCAGCACAGACAGGAATGGTAAGCACAGCCCTGGAGCCTGTGTCCCTTAGGGCCTGGGCCGTGCTGGTGCCAGGGGAATGGCAATGATGGTAGGTGGAGTAGGGATGAGGGGTAGCAAGGGGTCCTGCCTGCTGGCCCTTCTGGTGATGCTGCACAACACCCTCCTCACTCCTGAGTGCACTTGCAATGTATCTGGTCACTTCCCCAGGGCCAGGGTTTATGGGGACGGAGATGCTGGCACACTTCCCCTTCTGCAGCCAGCCACCTTACTGCAGCCTCTTGGACACAGCTCCAGAAGCCCAGGATCCATGCCTATCCCACCCTTCCAAAATTCCCTTCCAGGCACAGCCATGGCCAGTACGTGCCTTGTACCTCATTGCAGAGACACAGGGAGCTGGGCTGACTCACTGCAAGAGGTGGGTGCTCCTGTGCTGGAATGGGAGTCCCTATCCTGCTCCATTAGCTTTCCACTTGTCACCCATATCCCTGCACCCCCAGTCTCTTTTCTTGGGATTTGCCATGAAGAGAGTTGTGAAGGCAACGGGGATCATGATGCATGTCCACGTATATGTTTCTCTGTGCTTGGGGTGAGCAGAGCACATGAAACAAGCGCTTGCTCCCTGCTGCTGGGGGAGTGGGAATGGGGCCAAGGGAAGGTGATGGACTGCTCTCCATGTACCCTGCCCCACAGGCCCATCCTTTCCTCTTACAGGTGTCTGGAGCAGTGCTGATCTCTGGGCTGATTCAGCTGGTGCTGGGAGTGTCTGGTGTGTGTGGGTGGGCAGCGCGGCACTGCGGGCCCATGGTCCTGGCCCCCAGCCTCTCCATCATTGGGCTCTCTGCATACAAGGAAGCTGCTTTCTTCTGCTCCACCAACTGGGGAGTAGCACTGCTGTATGTGAGCCCAGGGGCTGTAGTGGTGGGCAGCTCCTGGGCCTTTCTTTCATCAGCAGGACAGGGATGGGGCACCCCTGCAGTGCACAGTGCACATTTGGGGCCTCATCAGTGACTGTGATGCTATGTGGTGACCTGTGCTCACTCTCCTAGGCTCATGCTCCTTGCTGTCACCTTCTCCCAACACCTGCGGTCCTGCCGCCTGCCCTTCTGTGCCTGGCCCCATGCCTGGGAGGGCTCCACAGAGTATTCAGCTCCCACCCTGCGCACATTCTCGGTACTGTGGTTTGTCTGCTCTCTTCACTGTCACCAGGCCTCTCTCTCCAAGCCTGGCTCTTTGGCGTGGGGTTAGGGGAGACCTGGAGCACAGGGAGGCATGAAAAGCTCGGGTGCAGCTCCCAGAACATGGATGCTTCTGGGGAAGTGTTGAGGACCTAGGGTGTTGGAGCAGAACAGCTTGGGATGCTTCCTGCAGGGGTAAGGGGAGATGTGGCATGACTCCTTGGGAGATGCGTGAGGACAAGGATGGGGTGCTGCCAGGACAGGCAGGGGAGGAGGGTCCCCTGCTGAGGGTCCCCTTTTGCCTTGCAGGTACTGCTCTCATTTGCTGGTGTCTGCATTGTCTGTGCCATCCTCAGCTACTTCCACATTCCCTGGGAATCACTGGATGTGACCATGGCACAGCTGTCCTGGGCCAACAGCACTTCCAATGCCCCTTGGATCCGCATCCCCTATGCAGGTGGGGGGCAGCAGGGTTGAGTGCAGACATCCAGGTTTGGACAAGATTTCTATCACCTGTCCCTTTTCCCTCTGCTGCAGGAGCGTGGAGGTGGCCGCTGCTCACGCCCCGGGCGCTGGCAGTGGGCATCGCCATGGCCATGGGCTGCAGCATGAACTCTGTGGGCTGCTACGTGCTGTGTGGGAGGCTGCTGCGAGCCCCCCGGCTGTCCCCCCATGCCTGTAACCGGGGGCTGTGCATGGAAGGGCTGGGCAGCCTCCTGGCGGGACTGCTGGGCACCGCAGGGGGCACGGCCTCCAGCATTGCGAATACCTGTGCTGCTGGCCTCACGCAGGTATGCCAAAGCAGGGGGAAATGGGTTGGCAGGGGATGGGGAGGCAGTCGAGCAGGTGCGCAGGACTTGTAATTGCCAGGCTGCCACCGAGCCGGCGCTGGGAAAGGCAGGTGTGTGTAGCAGAAGGGGCTGGGAGACAGAGCAGGGGGTGATGCTACCCATCCTCACTTTCCCACTCTTCTTTCCCAGGCTGGCTCTCGCCACTCAGTGCAAGTAAGCGCCCTGCTGTGCATGGTGCTGGGCCTGTCCCCGAGGCTGGCAGGGCTGCTCACCCATGTCCCACTGGCAGTTCACGGTGGGTACCCCGCCCTGCCCCTTGCTGCAGCGCCCGCAGCCTGCCTGGCACCTCCTGACTCCTGCCCCTCGCAGGAGGGGTGCTTTGTGTAACCTACGCTGTGGCTGTGGGCACGGGGATCTCCTACTTCCAGTACACAGACATTGACTCAGGGAGGAACATCTTCATTGTTGGCTTTGCCATGTTCATGGCACTGCTGGTACCGCGCTGGTTCGGCACGGCTCTGGCTCCCCTGGCCACAGGTATGAGCGACATTCCCCAGGCAAGGCAAAGCCTTGAGTCCCATGGCACGGTGAGCACACATCTCCAGTGTTCTGGGAGGCTGGGTCAGCACGTGGCAGCAGGCAGCTACCCTCTGAATCCCTGATTCTGCCATGGCTGCTCATGCCCCTTTTCCCTGGCTGGGCTGGGACCTCCTGGCTGATTCTGTCACTGTCCTTGCAGGCTGGGTGCCACTGGACCTCCTCTTCCTCTCCCTGCTTATGGTCCCTGTCTTCTTAACTGGCTTCTTGTCATTTTTTCTGGAGAACACGGTTTCAGGTGAGGGGCTGCCCTGGATGCTCTGCATATGCCCTGCTCTGAGGACTGCATCTGTCTATGGGGCAAACCATCAGCTCTGCCTCCAGGCAGTCCTACTGAGCGTGCTGGGGCTGGTGTGGGGTAGGAGGAAGGGATTCCCATTTCACTGCCTACCTTCCTGCTTGCAGGAACACTGGAGGAACGAGGGCTGCTTCCTGAGCAGCCATGGAAAGCCAGAGCTGGAGACTGTCACCTCCATGGAGAGAGAGGGGAAGCCAGCCAAGCATATAGGCTCCCCACTGGGCTAAGGAGGCTGCTGCCATCTTCCTGCAAAGCCTTTCCATGCTGCTTCCTCTGCCCGAGGAGTGAGGAAGAGGAGGAAGGCAGCTGTGCCACTGAGGAGGGGACTGCTGGCCCAGGGGAAGGCACACACCTGCTCCCCAAACCCAGCTCTGGGGAGCTGCAGCCAGCAATAAGGCCAAGCCAGACAGACATGCCTGCCTGGCACACTGTGGCCTGACCCTGTCGTCTGGGGGTGCCTCGTGTGAAAACAGGGCTGTGCCCTCAAGGCAGCTTGTGAGCCACTTTGCTCCTCATTTCTGAAGCCCTCCAGGACTGAGCTTCCACCCTCCTAACACAAACCTAATTTCCCTGCTTGAGAGCAAGATATAAAAACGTTCAACCAACTTTGCCTTTTCCATGGATTTTCTTTCCAGGTGGGATTTACCTATGGGCTCCCCTGTTGTCCTGAGGACTGTGACAGGAGGGCAGGGCCACCTGGTGCCACAGCTGAGGATATGGGTACCTGTAAAATCCACCATCACCCTATGGAGATGACATGGGGAGGGTTCAGTGCTTTGGCCAGCCCCAAAGGACTGTCACTGTGGCTATGCTCACCTGCTGGCACTGTGCTCAGGAATGACTGGCTGTCCTGCTGTGTCCCTGCCATGTCCCAGTTGTGCCTATGGCACCAGGTATATACCAATGCTCGGGCACTCCAGGATGCTCCAGGCTGGGAGTGCAACTCAGCTCAGTTTCTCAAACAACGAACACCCTTTCACCTACAGTCGATAGTCCCAGTAGTGCTCACCATATAAATGCCCCCTAGGCATTGCTCTTGTGACTACAGTAGCCAATAGTAGATTTCCCTGAAGAACATCATCTCCCTCCACCTGGTCCCAAGGTGAAACACCCAAAGATGGGTGCAGGGTGGGAGGGATGAGGTGGCACTGTGTGTGCAGATCCCTAGGTGTGAGCTCTTTCCCCAGCTCGTTGTGACCCCCACAGCTGTACAAAGCAGGATAATGCCCAGCTCATCCTCATCCAACTAGCACCCCCACCTGACCTTAAATTTCAGCTGTGCCTGAAGTCCAGCTGGGTCCTGCACTCCAAGCCCAATGATGCAAGCTAGTCTGTCCTGCACTGCAAAGTCCTTGCCTACTCCCATGTTCCCTGACACCCTGTCAGGATGCAAACCCTGTGCCATGACCACACTGCCCTGGGAGGTGGCTGTAGCTTGCATGCTGGGGAGAGGGGTGAGTGGAGGGGTGTGTGCAAAGAGTGCAAATGGGAGACTCAGGGGCAGCGCATCAGGAGCAGTGTGTCGGCCCAGCCTGGATGGCCTCAATGCACGGTGTGCTGGTGGGGGATCACAGTCAGAGAATGGGTGATGAGGTTTGGAAATCAGTGCCTGGGGTTAGGGTGGACCTCAGTGTGGAGGGAACTGGGGTGTGTGGTGTGCCAAGCTGGCACAACGCTGCTCTGTGCGCAGGCATGGGGTCAGAGGCACTTGCAGCCCCAGCCATGCAGGGCTCACTGTGCTGCAGCGGCCGAGTCCCGCACCCCTGGCAGGGCAGCGGGGCGGGTGCGTGCCCTGCCCGTGCCTGCCCCGGCACCCTGGGGCTCAGGAATCGACCTGGGGCCAAGGAACAGGAGGAGCCCCGCGCTGCCACTGCCTCTCCGGCTGTACAGGGCGCTGTACCCGGCTGGGCACTAGTGCCGGGACATTCCGCAGCAGACGCGAGCGCACAATAAAATCCTGAAGCATTTCGGTCCCCATCAGCATCTCGGCCGTGGCACCCGCTGCGGCAACCACGGCCGCTCTAGAGGGGCAGCCAGCTCGGCTCGCTGTCCTTGTGAGCAGGCAAGGGAACAGCAGCGCGCTCCGGGGGCTGTGGGGAAGCGATGGCCGCTCCCGGAGCGCAGGGAGCGCACATCCCGGCGTGCCCCGGCCCCGCACGCCGCGGAAGAGAGCAGCATGCCGGGAGCCGTAGTCCGCCCTGCCCCCGGCCCGGCGCCGCTCGCAAGCCCGAGGAATTTTGGATAAAAAGCCCGAGCCTCTGCATCCCCCGGCCGCCGGCTCCTTCTGCCCCGGGTAATGCTGCGGCTCCGCAGAGCCCGAGGCCGGCGGGCAGCCGCGATCGCTGGGTCCCCGAGTGTTTTGGGAGCGTGGAGCCCGTGCCAGGGAGGAGCGGGAAGCGGCAGTGGTGTCCCTGCCGGCAGGGCTCGCCTGGAGCGCAGGGATGGGATGCCCCAGCAGGAGGAGGGTGCAGCGCCCGGCTCCCCGCCCGGTGCCGGCGGGGCAGCCTCAATGCTCATTTGGGCGTAGAGGTCTTGCCGAGTTAGCGCCAGCAAGCAGCGGATAGCCCGAGGAGCCAGCAGTTCCACTGCCGTGCGCCTGCTGGAGCGTCTGGGGGGCTTATTGTGAGCTGCGGCAGGACCTGCCCTGCAGCAAGCTCCCCAAACACATGCCCCAGCTCTGCTGCTTGCATGTGTGGCCAGAGCTGGCTGAGTACCCTCACTTCTGTGCTGTCGGGTCACAAATGGGCAAGCCGGGACTGCCGGTCCCTTTAGGCCACCCCAGGGACCAGGTGTGCCTGGGCAGGGGTTGAGGCAGAGACCTGGTTGCTCTCTTGCAGATGGAGGGCTCCGAGGAGCTGGAAAGCAGCCTCCTGACCCAGCCCTGGGCTTCTGTTCGCTTTGGTGAGTCCAGTTTTCTTGCCAAAGTGTGCTTCAGGGATACTGGCTATATCCTGCTGATCTCTGACCTCAGCAGTGTCTGGTACGAGAGTGCAGACGCCGAGGCTGTGGGACAAAGGTCCAAGGTGAGTATCTGAAGAGGCCAGGGGCCTCTTTTTCTCCTCCCAGGAGCTGACATTCCAGCATAAATTGCTTGGTGACACAATGGCTGCTGGGTCTGACTGGGCTCGGGTGCAAATGCCCAACCTGGGAAGTCCCTGTGCGTCTCTGCCCAAGCCCTGTCACCCCACTTGGCCAAACACCCTTCTCCTGGGAGAGTGGGCCACTCTGTTTAGCATGCCTGGGGCAGCCAGGTGGGTCTGCATACAGAGGCTGGCACAGTCTCTTCACTTGTGGGCTGGATGGGCAGCTGGTTTCCCCAGGGTCAATGTACTAAAGAGGAGCTGGAAACAAGGCTGCCTTCTACTCATGACAGAGAGATTCTGTTCACATTCATAGCTAGTAGTCTCTCATGGGGCATCCTGTCAGCTTGGCCCCCAAAAATGCATGGAACTGTGCCTCATCTCCTCGGCCCATGTGCCCAGGCCCTCATGTGCCATTGGAGTGGCGTGTTCCTGTGTCACATAATGCTGAGTGGCTGGTGGCAGGAGGGATGGGAGATGGCTGCAGCTCTGGCAGATTGTCCTGCTGTGGGCTCTCAGCCAGGCTATGGTGCTTGTGGTGGCATGCAGAACAGATGTGCTAGTGCAGACTGCTGCACCCTGCCCATCCTGGACTGGCAGGATAGGGGAATCTTCCCAGCATGGCTGGCTTGGGAGAATCAGTGAGGAATGTCATGTCAGCTGGAAGCCAAGGCCCAGGGGTGGTTTTTTGCTGTGGAACATGCAGTAGTTTCACTCCTTTGGTGCTGGGATTTCTGCTGTTTTTTCCCCAGTGCTGTGCTGTGCCCCCTAACCTTGCCTTTTCCCAGGAGCTGAACAAGCGGCTGACTGTCCACGTGTCCTCCTTCCTGAACCACTTGTGCAGCTTGATGTGCCCCTTGCTGGCAGGGCAGCCAGGTGCCACCACTGCCTTCTCCTGCCACCGCTCTCCCGGTGGCCTCAGGCTGCACGTGAAAAGCGAGCTGTCAGGACTGCCCTTCTACTGGGACTTCCACTGCTGCCCGGCTCCCTTGGACATGGTGAGCAAAGCTGCAGAGACTTCAGGGAGGGGAGTGGCCAAAATGAAGGATTATCTCCTTAGGATTATCTCCTTAGGCCTCTCCTTAGAGGCTTTTGTGTAGTCTCAAGCCACGCTGGTGACTGTAGGTTGCCTTCTGCCTCTCCCAAGGCTTACTGTCCCCATTTCTCCCCATTGAGGCTTTGGTTTGTGCCATGCAGTTACACAGGGATGTCCCAGCACATGTTGCTGCTGGGGCATAAGTGAAATGTCCTTGTGAGAGACCATCTGGAGTTCTGCATCCAAATATGGGGTGCTTGGCACAAGAAAAACATTGACATGTTAGAAGGGGTCCAGAGGAGAGCCACAAAGATGATAAAAGGGCTGGAGCTCCTCTCCTACAAAGATAAAGGTCTTTGTGCAATAGCAAAGGCAAAGGTTGCAAGAGATGGGATTGTTTGGCATGGAGAAGAGAAGGCTCTGGAGAGACCTCATTGCAGCCTTCCAGTACTTGAAGAGGGCTTATTAAAAAAGAGGGAGAACAGCTTTTTATGTGGGCAGATTGTGATAGGACAAGGAGAAAAGTTTTTCAACTGTAAGAGGAGACATTTAGATTTGCTGCTAGGAAAAAAGTCTCAATTATGAGGGTGATGAGGCACTGGAGCAGGTTGCCCAGAGAAGTTATGGATGTTCCATTCCTGAAAATGTTCAAGACCAGGCTGGATGGGCCTATAACAACCTGATCTAGTGAGTTATATCAAAAATCCCTTCCAAAGCAAACCTTTAGATAATTCTATGTCCAGTGTGGGGTGATGCCCTGCCAGCACTCTGTAGAGCAGAATGATGCTGTTCTCTTTAGGAGCAAGCCACGAAGCAGGGCACAGAGCAGCGGGTACCCCCAGATGGCCTGCAGGTGGTCTGTCACGACAGGCGGAAAAAGCCGGATTCTCCCGGCTTTTAAGGGTTTGCTCTTTCACGGGCACGTTGCGTTTGCAGCGGCAGCCCCTGCGGACCCCTGCAGGTGGGGCTCCCCCCGGGCCCTGCGTCCCTGCGCGCACAAGAGGGCGCCCGGCGCCCGCGAACCGCCCGGCGGAGCCCGGGCCCGGCACGGCGCTGCGGCCCTGCCGCCGGCGGGAGGCAGCGCCCCGCAGCCCCGCAGCCCCGCAGCCCCGCTGCCGCTGCCGGCCGCGGTGCCTCTGCCCCCGAACGGCTGTGCTTGGGCATGGCGGGGGCACAGCCGGGTTCCCCAGCTGCTGTGGGGGCTGCTCGCACCGTCAGGGTTGAGCTGGGGAGCCGGTAATCGGGGTCCTGGCTGAGCTGATGAGGTGCAAAGGCCCTCTTCCTGGCTGCTCCTCTACTTCATCGTGGACACACACTGGATCTCTGCAAGACACCACGGAGGTGGGAAGCAGCTGGGGTGCTGAGTGTGGCTGGTGGATGCAGTGATGGGGATCAACTCTGCCCCAGCCAGGGGCTTGAGGAAGGCATAGAGCCTACCTGGCTCAGCCCATCCCACCTCTGCTGCAGGTGGTGCACTCCAAGTGCTCCAGTGGGTGATGGCCATCACCTCTGGGCTCATATCTGGGGGTGGGCAAAGCACAGAGCCCACTGTGGGCTTGCCATAGGAGTGAGAATGCTTCGGGAGCAATGCTGGGTTTGCTGTCCTCTCACCCATGGACTCAGCCTGGCCACAGAAACAAGGGACACAATAGGTTCGGGATCTCAAATACCCTTCCAGAGACTGAAGGAGGTGATAGGAGAGAGGCTGCTTTGTGTTCCTGCTGGGCCAGGATGGCCCAGCTGGGCTCTGAGACAGAGGACATGCCCAGGGCTCTGCATGAGACTTGTGTGGCGTAAGCTTAGAGGGCACACTGCAGTGGGGGCTGCAATGGGGAGCATGCACAAGTCCTGCCTGTTGAGATCTCTTTTGCTTTTGATCTTACTTCCCTGGGAGTGCCTCTCCTGTTCATGAAGCCACAGTTTGACACCTTGGAGCTTTCTGGTTTTTCACCCAGCCATTCCCGTTTCCTGCATAGGAACGTGCCATGAGGTGTGCAGAGCCATGGGGAGGGTCTGGGTGGCACATGAGGGGCTCTCTGTTTCCTGTTGCACCCCAGGTAGTGGGTGGAACACTGCCTATCCCTGCTTCTCCCACCTAAGCTCTCGCCTGCTGCAGCCTCAGCTGTGAAAGGATGGGGTTGGGATGGAGGGATATGTCTCACAGCATCTGGCCTGCCTTCTCCCAGCTCACATCCTTTTCCCACTGGATGTGTGTGAGATGTGGGGTATTTTGTGGAGCCCTGTGTGACCTGGGCTGCAGCTCTTGCTAAGACCTTGCTGCGTGCCCTGCTCTGACCATTCTGAGGACAGCTGTGTGCCTTCCTGGACCTGGACCTTTCCTAGAGCACCCCTCCTCTGTTGTAGGTGTCCCGTCACCTCGTGCGGCCCCTGATCCAGATGAACCTGGTGCTGCAGTGCCAGGTGCAAGAGCTGATTTCCCTGCTGCTCCAGAAGGATGCTGAGATTGAAGATTACAGGGAGAGCGGGGCCACTCTCAGCAGAGGTGAGGAGGGATGCCTGGGGCAGAGAGCAAGTTTCCTCCTTAGCACTGGGCTGGCGTGCTTTGCTCCCTCTGGCTGTTACCCAGCCTGGCTTGTGTTTCATACTTAGCTAAGCCAGCAGCAAAACAGTAGCCAGAAGGCTGGGAGCAGCTCCCTTCCCAAGTGCAGTAGCCTCTGGGGTGAGCTGGGGGAGGAGCAGCCCTTGACCGATAGCTGTAGGAGTTGGGGAGTGGCCAAGGGGCTCTCCAGTACTCTGAGAGCACCTGGCTGGTCCCCAGGAGCCAGCGGGGAAGCCTCAAGGGCTGGCCCTGCAGTGGTGTCAGGCTCCCTTCCCAAGTGCAGTAGCTCACTGAGTGCTTGGACAGCACCCAGGGGCTCTGGGCTCTCCCAAATGTGGGAAGAGCAGCCGTGCTCATGGGCCCTCCTCCAGTGCCCAGCCCACTTTGCCATCAGGCTGATGGGCACACCGTAGCCCCCCTGGGTAGGACATGGGGCAGGGGGAGCCACCTTGGGGGGTGGTTTGTTCCCCACCTATGGAGGTTGGCTGGGCACTGTTTTTTGGGTCATCCCTTGCTACTGCCATGCTTTCTCCTGCTGCCACAGGTGATACCTGCACTTCTGCAGGAGCATGGTGCCTTGAGCATGTAGAGACTAATGGGGGTCAGGCCAGGCTTGTGTATCACATCCAGGAAGATACTGTGGTCCAGACCCTGTCCCATGACTGGTGCCCCCACTACAGGAGCCTGGATCTGCCCTGTAGGTGCACTAGAGCTGCATTGGCCAGCTGCACTTCCCTCTATCCTGCTGCATGCAATCTCTGCAGGGCTTGGAGCAGCCTGGACAACCTGTCTTGGGTCCAGGCACTGATGCTGCTGAGCAGCTGGCCTCTCTTGTCCCTTACTTGGTGCAGGGCAGAAAGCTGGGAGGAAGCATTGCACCCTAGTGGCTGAGCAAATCCAGCCAGCTGCTTCTCCAGTCTACATCTTAGCAACAATGTGGAAAAATTAGTGTTTTGGACAAGGTGCAGAGCAGAATATAACAGGGGTTTGTCCCTGTCCTGCAAGAGGAGGACACAGGCTGGCTCACACCTTCATTTGAGCAGCTGGACAAGCAGTGCCCTGTCCCACAGACTCAGACAGCTTGTTCTAGCTGGAAGGTCTGGGAATGGTGTTGAGCGTGTCCTGCCACCGTTCCCTACTTGGAAGTGCGGGACAAGTGTGGATGGACTATTGGCTCTGCCTGGCTGCTGTCTGCTTCAGCAGGCTCAACCATGCTTTTCCAACTTCCTTGTGGGCCTTGCACCTTCTGCTAACCAAATGATATGTCCCTAGCCCAAGAGGCCTGCTGGTGTTTCCTGCTGATTCTGGGAAGAGCGTGCTGGAGCTTTTCCCCTGCAGCATCCTCACCCTATGGTCAGGGAAAGGGGAAGCTGTGGGGGGAAGTCTGGCCCAACCTGCCCAGGCTGATCCCTGTCTCCCTTGCAGACCGCCTGCGGACAGAGCCCTTCCGGGAGGAGACGTTTCGGCAGAACTTCGTGGCTGAGGTAAGGAACGGTGCAAGTCCTCTCTCCTTTGCCCAAGGGGTGGTTTCATCAGCAGCTGCAGTGTGAGGTGTGCCAGGCTGCATGGGAGCACTGATGGGGATAGCTAGACTTGCCTAAAGAGGGATCATGCCCTGTGGCTCTCCCACAGCCCTCTTTGTGTCCTTGCACCTCATCTCTAGGCCTAGCAGAGCAGGGAACAGCCTGACATGGCTGGATGGGAACTGCCTGGTTGCTGGGAGCTGCCAGAGGTGCGAGCCAGGCTGGCTGCTTCACAGGAGGGTGCCATCACTGGGGCATATTCGCTGTATTCACCTGCCTCCCAGACTTGCTGTGGACCCAAACACTGCTGCTGATGGCAGGCAGGAATCAGGTGAATGAGGAGAAGCCATCCCTTTTTAGTTCACCTGTTGCTTTTAGAGGTGATTTTGCAGTGACACATTGTGGGGACGAGAGCTTTTCAGCATGGTATCCATGCTCTGCCTGTCACTGTCCCCTTGGCACACTCAGCTCTAAAATCAGACGTGTGCTTTGGAGAAACTGGGACTGGAAGGAGAGAGTCTTTGATCCTTTTGCATTACTGGAAATCATCACAGAAGCACTGAAATGATTCAGACTAATGTGTCAGGGTCAGAAATGCTTGATGCCCATTATGCAAAAGGACTTGGGGCACTTCTGAGTGTTCCTGTGCTCACTGTGAAGGCACAGGAATGGGGGGCAGTGGTACCTGCTGGGGACCAGGTTGTCAGCCAGGGTGCCAGTGGTATCACACGGGCTTTGGGAGGATGGTGCTTTATGAGATGAGCTGATGTACTTTTGCAGCCAACAATAGATGATCTGCAGAGTTTCTAAAAATTAGAGATGATCCCTCTTTTATATGCAAGGCATTGCATCCAGTGCAGGCAACTTTCCCCTGGATTATGAAGGATAGAGATGAATTCACTGCTGGACTGCAACTTGAAGGTTGCCTAGGGACCAGTGATCATGACCAGATTACATTCACCCTGGGCACAGAAAGGACATTCCTAAGCAGTAATTTATATCCTTCATGCCTTGAAAGAGCTAATTTCCCAAAGCAGGGGAAAATTATGAGTGAAATCAGCTCAGAGGAAACATTTAGATAGAAAAATGTGAATGAAAATGGTGAGCTCTTTCAGAAGAATTTCAGAAGCCACAAAAAGCCACAATTCCACAATCAAGAAAGAGGGCAGCACTGGCCCAGAGCCCGTTCTGGTTCAGCAGCAAAGTGAAGGCAGCAATTAGAAATAAAAGAGCAGTTTATAACAAATGGGAGAGCAGGAGTAGATAGCAATCAATATAAATTAGAAATTATGAAGTGTAGAAAATGGGTAACAGAAGCTAAAGACATCAGGGAAAAATCATGGCGATGAACAGAAGGGAAAGGCTTTTATTTAGTGTAGCAGGAAAAAACCCCAAGCTCCCAGCAATAGGATAAGCTTATTAGTAGACAGAGGTGGTAAAATGATTTATACTGGACCAGACATGGCAGAAGCAGTCAGTAAATGTTTCAGTGCTGTTGCTGGAAGGGTGCAGGCAGATGTGCCAGGATAGGGGGATGGTGAAGTGTCTTTGTAGAAGAGTCATCTGAACAACATCTGCTAAAGATGAACATCAGGCTTGAAATTCAGAGTCCTCCAAGAGCTGGTCAGGTCTGAGCCATGGGGGAAGGTGCAGAGTGGGCAGGAGGGGAGTGAGGCAGAGCCTGGCAAAAGCAGCTGGTGTGGAGCACATCTGGCACAGGCTGAAGAGATGGGATGATGGTTGGTGCTGGGTGTCCTGACAACAGTCCAGGAGCAGTGTCTTGGAGCCAGATAGGGAATGGAAGGCTCTGGGAGATGCTGCCCCTCTGCATCCTCTGGTAGCCAGGTCTGAGCACTGGCTGCAGGGGAGAGGCTGGTGGAAGGATGCAGTTGTGCACTTGGTCTGCTGGGAGGGTGTGTCCTCTCTGCATTCGTACCATTCTTTATAAACCCACTGATGATGCCATCTTGCAGCAATGAGCTGTGAGATGCAAACAGCTGCTGCCTTTGGTTTGAATGTGGTACCCTGTTGTTCCTTCTGATGCCTCCTAGGTCTTGTGTTAGTGAGAAACACCAAAAATGGCTTTTCAGCTCTTCACCACCAAAACTGGCTCTTCACCCCAGACTCTCCTCTCATCTTGCAGCAGAAAGATGGTCTGGGTGACCTCATTGTCTCTGTGCAGTTACTTCAGAACCTCCAGGCAATTTAACACTCTGTTGTCAGCTCCTAAAAGGAGCAGCACAAGGAGCTGGGGTCCCTCAGGATGTGCTGTGGGGAGCTGGGAATGCAGTGAGCAGCTCCCATGTGTAGGTTTCCAAAAAGATGCTGGACAATCAGCACAGAGTCACAGGAATGAACTGGGGAGAGAGCCTGGCATTGAGGGCTTGGAAGGGAAGAGCTCTGTCTAGCTTATCAGGGAGAAAATTGAGAGTGCCTTGATCATAGTCTGTGTGGGTCTTTACAAGGAGAAGAGGCTGGTTGGTGAAGGGCTCTCTTTAATCTTGCAGAGAGCACTGGAGCACGAGCCAGGCACTGGGACATAGAGCCAGGGAATTTCAAGTTAGAATGGAGGCGCTTGGGTTTGCTCCTGCCAGTGACTGGGGCATGCTCCCAAGGGCAGTGGTTGATCCTCCATCTCTTAATGTCTCTAAAAGTGGGCTAGGAGCCTGCCTGGAAGAAAACCAAGTTGTTGGGTTTGGTCTTGGTTGAACATCAGTGGACAGGAGGTCAAGAAGAGAGATCTATTTGTCCTTCCAGTATCTCCATCTGTGAAATGGGGCTGCAGGTTGTGAATGTTTGGTTGTGGTAAGCACCTCTTGGCTGGAGAGGGATTGTGATGATGTGGTACAGGGCTGGATGTGGGCAGGTGCTCCACAGCTTTTCTCACTTCCCAGATATTTGCTGTACCCCGCATGGAGAGGAAAGGATCTGTCAGTCCCCCAGGGCAGAGCTGCAGAGCCTCTCAGCTTAGGCATGCCCTTTATCTGGGCTTGTGTGCACTTGGCTGTCCAGGGCATTTTAACTAACCATGGGGAGTTTTCCAGCAAAGCCCTGGTAATATTTATACGTTTAGGAAATGATGCTTTCACACACACAGTTTTTGGCAAGGGTTCACTGCTGAGCAGCTGCCTGGGCTTGAGCAGAGCTGGAAGGAGCAGTGGCTGTGCAGAAGCCGAGGTGAAGCTGGTGGCTTTTATTGGCAAGCCCAGGGGTTCACACCATTAGGGGAAGGAGAAGGCGGCTGGAGAGGGCTCAGTGCTTCGGGGCTTCCCCAGCTCTGTTCCCAGCAGTCTAGGACCCAGCAGGTTGGGGATATTTTGTCCCCTGGTGTCCCTCTGGTTTACAGAAATGGCCCCACAGGGCAGGGTGGGGTGGCCACCCATGAGTTTTGAGGGCCTGCTCCAGCTTGGCTACGGTCAGCGTTTCATGACACAGCTTATTCCAGAGTCTGCAATCCGACTTGGAGGGAGAAGGGTGAGCAGGTTCCTGCAGCGCCGTGCCCCCTGCTCTGAGGAGGGCAGGGACAGGTACACCGAGGACAAGCTCATGGATACCATCAGTGCAAATATAGCCCCCGTGCCCCAGGATGCTCTGCCCTGTGTATTTTTATCTGCTGCGGCTGGCCGGGGGCGGCTGCTCCGCACCTCCGCAAGCGGAGCGCGGGACCTCGGCAAACAGGACGCGGCGGGTTCACGGCTCGACCCCGGGGCCCGGCGAGGAGGAGGAGGATGTACCATCAAAACAAGCAACGCTGCAGAGGAAGATAAACAAACAGGCAGCTTCCAGTGTGGCCCCGGCCGAGGGCGAGTGGGAGCCCCGGGGCCAGGGCTGGCGGGGGTGCCGGCAGCGGTGCTGGCTGACGTCAGGGCGGCCGGGGTCAGCATCCCTCGCATTGTTTCCCACCCGGGCTGGGACCCGGGCCAGGCACCCGGCCCCCTCCCGGCTGGGGACACAGGCCAGCAGGGCAGGTGGAGGGTGGCCGGGACGCGCTCTGCGGCCGCAGGCCATTGCCACCGCGGGGTCCAGCCGGGTACCTGGCTGCTGCTCACTGCCTGCCTCCAGCACCCACTCTCTGCTTTTTAACAGGAACTAAAAATAAGCCCTGGGTAGCGGAGTGGCCCCGGTCTGGCCGAGGACGAAGGCGGTGGTGGCCTGCGTGTTTTGCAGGTGGGGACGGCATCCCTCAAACCCACGCCAGCTCAGGGCAGTGGAGAGGAAGCAGCCCTTTGGCTCCTTCAAACGAGGGATGTTTTTAATTAGCGCAAGGTAGCTGCGGCTTTGCAGCTGCGACTGGGCCAGAGTGGGGTGATGGCATGTGTGTGACATGGACTGCGTGCACACAGGGTGCAGGGCTTGGGGAGAACGTCCTGGGGGTGCTCTGCTGGGCTGGGGCCCTTGGCATGGAGCTGGGGAAGGAGCTGTGTGCTGCTGCTGTCAGGGCTAAGCAGTGCAAAATTTGCAGAGCCCTGAGCAGGTTGGCTCAGGGCAGAGGTGGCAGCATGGGGCTGGCTTGTGGGGCAGCTTGGATGAGCAGAGCAAGCTCTTGTGTGCTGCCAAGCATTTGTGCTGTGAGCCCCGTGGGTGATGGTGTCTTGTTCTGGATTGGGGCCACCTGGATGGTCCTTGCTTCATTCCTGAGCAAGCTTTGGTCACATCATCCCATCACTGCCCTGGGGTCTGAGTTGCACACTGGAAATGCAGTGGGCCATGGCTGTGCTGAGCAGAGTGGGGCACACACTGCCCTGCACACACGTGGTCTCAGGGAGCTGCACACTGCTGCAAGCAGGAATGGAGCGAGGGCTGCTTGTACTCAGCGTGAGCACATGTACCAGAGCAGGAGCGTGAGAACAGCACTAGGAGTGTGCATGCTGCTACTGATGGGAACAGGGGCCACAGTGCCACATCTGCTGCCTGAAGAGGACAGGGGACAGGGACTAGCACTTGGTGTCCACAGTGGTGCC